TCTGCACGATTATAACTCATTGCTTGTTTGAAACTGTTATTCTTATCAATGTTGATTAGCTCTCTCTAAAAGAAATAAAAACTCTTTGTGCCACGTCTCCCAAAGAAGGGGTGGGGTGGTTACTCATTCAGCTATTTGCAGGCGGATATTTCAGTCTTCAAGCTATCATTATCAATGCAAATCCTACCAGCGTCACTAGGCTGGATGATAAGGATTATCAACCCTTTTCAAACACCGACTGTTGATCGTAGCTTCCACCTCCAATGAGGCAGATATTTAAATCCAAGTTAAAATTCCGTTACATTTTTAAGTCGTACTCCGCACTGAAATTTTTCATGCAGCTAGCTGAATTTAAGACAACTTATGTTGAAGTGAAGCAATGTCATTGTCCAAATGTATTCATGCATTCGCTAATTGTCAGATCTATAGCATAACGTGTAATCACAAAATAAAATCCATTTGGCATGAGCCAGCAGTTAAACAAAATTCATGTAATTCAGTTTTTTGCGTCTTCATGTTCAAAAAAAGAACAAACAACAAACACCTTGATTTAAAGGTCACACGCTGTGCTGTAGTGATGTTGGAATTAGTCAACTGATGATTTATTTTATGGGGACGTTGAGCATAATTATGAATCAAAATTATCCAGGTGCATTGACTCGCAGCTGTATATACTGTTCGCCGCCAACGACAAGTGAAGAAACGTAAACGCTCATCAAGCATCAATAAGAACACTCTTGTACATCTTCCAGAGCATCTTGTAATAGCCAAGATTCAGAACAGTTTTTATCCTGCGAACAATCGCATCTGCACTTGGATTGTTCGCGCCCAACTCTTGTGTGGATCGTACGACAAGTTTACGATTATCAGTCCTGATGTCCAAAACAGTTCTTGACAGACTGCATCTTCCCACTTCGGCACCATTCATAGTACTCCAAGACGAATGGTTTCTGTTCATATTGAAAGAATATTCTGTCTTCCGGTCCATAACAGTCAAGAGTTGGAGTGACAGAGCTCGAATACGATCGAATTTCTCGTAGGAAGCAGCGAACCAAACCCACCGAACTCACTGACTAACGACGATCGCTTCGCGACTTGACTAATAATTGTATTTCTGTATTTCCGCTATTCTGTTTCGACTCAACCCGTCAGCTATTGCACAGTTCCTTCGAATGCCGTGGCCTTGATGGCCGTCAACTCATTCATGTATTGCACCACGCAGTCGCCTCCTTGTCTAAGCCTCAATTCAGTACAGTCTGGTTCACACGACAGCAGCATTCTAACGAAGAGCAGGAAATACTTCATTGTCGAAATATACTGGGACAGTTGGAATACAACGCTGGGATTTGGATGGAACTCCCTAATACAGCTGACGAATCCTGTGCACCTTGGCAAATTTATTCAAGAAAAAGGGCAGAGAGTTTGCAAATGTCCCATCGCTTATGTTTCGTTGTAATTGTTGTTTTTTATGCGTTTTTTTTCTGTGTGTCGGGAGTGTCACTGCAAGCAGCAAATGTTGTTATTGTGTTGAATGGGGTCAACACAAGCCGTCGCTGACCTGCGTTGACCCCTGCTGGTCTCCCCAACTGCCAAGGCCAACGTCATCTTATTAATGCTTATTACAAATCGGTACTCAGGTATACTTTTTCCAGTATGAGGGAGAAACACGCTGACGAAATTTCAGCCACTATTTTCTGGCAAGTTTTTGAACAGGCACAGTACGAAGTCGCAAATTTTGACATGGTCGTACACACTGCACAAGCGCGCGCCTAGTGCGTTTGCCAACGACATATTTCTAATTGCTTCAGAAATCCGACAAAACTAATGAGCTGCGAAGCACGAAATTTAACACAACTTCAGAAGCGTGTTTAGAAACGTTCACTTCTGCCATGTCGTAATGATTTCCAATCTTCGATGGAAAACACTCGTGCAAGCAGAAATGCGAAAGTAAAAAATTTATTTCATATTTTTATTGAGATACAGTGAGCACAGCTTTTATTCCTTTTATCATAATCGAGTTCCATGCAACGCCCAGTTCTGCCGAGACTACTTTTCCGTTGCGAATTGAGCGCAGGGACAACGCTTGGGAAGACGGCAGCCATGGTTACCCATTTCAACACAATCCCAGTATTGAACACACGCTTTCCTACAACTCTTGACCCTGCGCCTTCTGTGCCTGACCTAAATTCATCAAATTATTGCAAAAAAAAAAAAAAA